CAGTAACAGTAACAGTAACAGTAACAGTAGCAGTAACAGTAACAGTAACAGTAACAGTAACACTAACAGTGCCAGTAACGATAATAATAATAACAATAATAATAAAAATCAAGAAAGAGTTGTCAATATGTGAAAGTGGAATTCTCTTTTGATGTTAAATTATTCTAATCATTTTACAAATAAAGAAGCCTCGCCTGTGCTCTGTTCTGTTGTAAAGCACTAAGGAAGCGGTAGAGCATGAAAGAAGTGTAGTCTAGACGCAGACTAGACGCAGACTTTTCGGTAGAGCACTCAAGTATACTTCTTGAGTGCTCTAACGGCCGCTTCTTAAGTGCTTTACAACAGAACAGAGCACAGTCGAGGGTTCTTTATTTGTTTTATGATAAAGAATTCAATAATTTCCCCACGCATTCGGCTGAATTTTTAAACCAAACTTTACTTTCTTAACGAGTAAAAATGGCGTCAGCCGGGCTCGGTTCTCTGAAAAAGCACGCTAAAAGAAGCCAATCACAACCCTTGTTAAGAATTGTTCAAATAATTTAATTGGTTAACGAGGCGACAGCTGGCAATCACAAACTGGACTTCAGCCAAGCTTTCAGTTTCGAGGTCCAGTTTCGAATGGCTTTCAAGAGAAGAATGATGCCTTCAAATTTCGCTTTTTAGTTTAACTTTTAAACAAGGATCTAAAGGCAGATAAAGGTTTCTAGTCTAGAGGAATCCGTCCGCATTGTGGCTCATGGAAACGTGCACTGTGCGTATGGAAATAACGCAACAAATAGCTCAAAGCTTGNAGATAAAGGTTTCTAGTCTAGAGGAATCCGTCCGCATTGTGGCTCATGGAAACGTGCACTGTGCGTATGGAAATAACGCAACAAATAGCTCAAAGCTTGGGAATGAAAATGCGAAACGCTGAGTTGTATTTGAAAGGAGCTACCGTTATTTACGGATTGCAGCCGCTAGCAGCAAGATTGCCCGAACTAGTTTCAAAGTTGGTGTTCAGGCCCGAACCCGCAGTGGAAGAGTCATACGAGCTCCTAAGAGACTGGACATATAACTTAGCCACCCCTCCCCGGACATTGTTGAGTTATTGTTGTAATATTATATTATGGTATGTCTTGTTCTTCGAAAAACACGTGTGATCGCAAGTCAAAGATTTTGATTGTAGGCTATTTCGAGTTGTACACTGAGAGTAAGCAAGTGAATCTTTCATTGATACAAGGAAACAAAGACAATACATGTTGAACTGAACAGTTGGAAAGACTAGACTACTCCCACTGGTTCTACTCCGAGTACAGGAGAGAATATCAGAGCAGGCTTTCAAATGATCACTCGTCGGGTGAGCGATGATACGAAATTGTTGAGGTTCACTTCGCTGAGATGACCGAAGATCGCTAGTAATATAAGCAAACGAGCGTTACTGCAGTGCATGTAAGTGTTGTTTGAGCATTTTTACAAAAATAAATCTTCTCATCATAAACAGAGACAGCGCAGTTTGGTGTTTTCTGTCGTTGTTTTACTTCTTTAGTAGAAATAAACCATAGCCTCCATTTGGCGCGAAAATATGCTGGGATATTTGTCCGCGGACATTATCTGTTCCGAGAAGCGAACAGTTTTCCGAGAGCGTTAGGAAAATTGTGAGCCTCGAGGAACAAGTAATGTCCAAGGACGAATATCCGAGCGTATATTCGCGCCAAATGGAGGCTAGTGTGTTTATCATCCTTCAAATCTTTTTCGCGACAAATGCAATTTTGAAAATTGGGGGATATTCTCGGATATTCCCCAGTTTTAGTTGGTTAATATTTGGTCACGTGACGTGTTTAGACCAATCGCGCGCGTGCGAAAATATTTGATTGATTAAAATGTCTATTATTGAAGCATTCGATACGTTGAAAATTTGTTTATTTCGCTACGTGTTTTGTCGGAATCTAGCAAAACTTGTTATTTTAGTACCGTTTTAACACTACTGTTGTTAACAATGGTCACCGTGAGTTATATTTACTGTAGAAAAACAGCTCGTTTCCATTGCGTTTGTCTAAGTCACAGGGCATGTTTAATTTGGGTCGAATTTGTCAAAATTCCGATGCAAAAATTTGAAAGCCAGCTTAGCGCCATCCACCCCACGCTCTGTTCTCTGATAAAGCACCCTATTCCAGGCAATCAGAGCGCGCGTTATATGGAAACTTTATTATAAACTTTCACATCCCAAACAAGTATTCTGGTTTCCCCCTTAATAGGATTTTTCCCGCCCAAATAGCAGTATTTCCCAGATTTTACGCCGAAAGTCGGGGGAGGGCTCGGGGGGGAAGTTGGAGGTAAGTAAAGTATTATCGGTAGAGTGAATTAACTGAGTGATCAATTGATTTTCAATCAGTTGCCAAGAGAATCTTACCAGTCCTTTGTCATCACGACCGCTATTTTTATTAAATCCGATTTTGATTATACACGATGTTCGTTCCTGAACTTCCAGAACGCTCGGTTATGACCGATGTTTGTCATATCTGATGTTCGTTATGTATCTGATGTTTGTTATGACTACTGCTGTTCGTCATATTTACAGCTGATTGCTTTAATATCTTAAGTGATCATAAATTGTCGGTACTACAGGTTTGAAGTCGGAGGTTGTAAACTAGGGTTCCATGGTATATCTCTACTCTGTAAGGTCGAGTTCACTTTAACATGATGAAGAACGGAAAATAAGCGCTGGTATTTGACCGCTATTCACTTTAGAACCGTTGGTGCTTTTTGATGACGATTTAAAGGTAACTGTGACACCAGAACATGAGGCACTTGACATACCATCGACGTGAAAAAAAGAACGCGCACTTGTCGTTATTTTAGCTGTTGCGGTGTATAACAGCCCTGCACGAATAGAAATCTCTTGTGAGAAATGCACTTCAAATGTTTTAACACTGGATCTGGTGTAGTAGGACCCAGTGTTTTCTGCTATCATAGAACTTCCACGATACAACCGAATGGTGACTTGAAAGGTTGTTGAGCCGCTGCTTACTCCCCACAGACGGTATCCTTGCAGAAGGACGTCACCATTAGTTTGAAAATCAATTGCGTCAACGTTTCTATTGTAATACCAGTCTGTAGTTGGACTTTCGGGTCGTTGGCTGCGCTAGCAATCACAAGCTACTGGAAAGAAAAGTTTACATGAAAACAACAGCAACTATAACAACAACAAATTATATTACGTTGTAACCAGCATGCATCAAAAGCCTGTCATATCTCTATCTCCATAAAAGAGATGGTTAAGTTTTGGTCACACAAAGTCGTCACTTTGTAAATGAGTTGAAACTGTGTTTCAATACCTCTCTTGTTCTTAGACAGCTATCAGCTTGTTGTTGTGCTCAAAAACTTCAAAACACTGTTTGGTTATCATCACGTAATATGCTCCACTTATCAGAATAAATGTTTAATCAGAGTCAATTTTTAATTCTGAAAATTTTGAAGAAAGATCGCGCGGATAGATTTCGAGATAAACGTCATGGAAACTACTAATACCCAGTCTCTCTTTAGGCACTCAGTCTTTCATTTTGGCTATTTTTAAAATTAACGTTTCTGTTGTTCAAGTGTCGCATATACTGGTTAAATACTTGAAAAAAACAGCAATAAGAAAAAGAAAACAAAAATTCTTGAAACATTTTACAAAAGAGTTTAAAAACCACCTTTAGTTGACCATTCGTTGAGGGTGTCCTCTTAGTATAGGTTGATCAGCTGAAATACTAATATATATTGCAAAATGCAACCAACGCTTCTATTATTTCCAGATCCTGAGTACGTGTAAATGGCCTTTATTAATTGAAACGAGAAAGTGTTTAAAGCCCTGCAGTTATCTTACGAGACTATGCAAATTAAGACTTGTATTCGCCTGATGTATAATTAAGCAAAAATAAAACCGCGATAGAAACGCGTTAACTTGTCAATAGCACACCTTTAGGTTGTTTCTGTACGGCCACATTCATCTTAGCTTTCTTTGTGCCCATGCTGTTTGTTGCCACACATTCATAAACTCCACCGTCAGCAGGACTCAGATTCTTAATAGTCAGACTACCATCTTTTACTTCAGTTTTGTCAACAGGCATAGGCATTGCTAATCTGTTCCAGCTTAACACAGGAGGTGGAAACCCTACAGCTTGGCAGGTTTGTCGAAAAGTAGAGAGCTCTTTAGGAGTAACAAGTGATGGAGGAGTTGAAGTAAAAATTGGAAGACCTACGGAAAGAATGTTTAAATCATGCAAATAATAATGCAGCAAAAGTGTTACAGATCTCAATGAACTTCTATCCTTTTGAGAGCCTGCCGTTAAGTGGGTCGCTACGCAGCACTCCTCTAT